CCCCAAAACCCCAAAACCCCAAAACCCCAAAACCCCATGTCCCTGAAAGCTAGGTGAATTAAGATGAATGGATAACTTTATAAAATTCTAAATAAAATTGAAAATCAGGTAATACAAGCTTAAACTATCTTCGCTCCTTGATTTTGTTATTTAAATAATTTAAAGTCAACCACCAGCAGCTACAAGCATGAACAGCTATTCTATCAGGCCCCTTAAAGTCTTCACTATGGATTATGACCAAGCTAATGTTAACTCTTCGGTTGCTTACAATAGAATGCCATAAACTTATTTACTTAAAAGAATTAGAAAGAGGAAGCCATATCACTATATAAATAGTGGGATTAGAAGGTACCTTCTTTATTTAGTTAAAGATCTGAACTTCTCAATTAAGGATGCCGCTAGTACGCTAAATATCAATTATTCAACCGCTAAAACTATCATCTAAGTATATAAAAAGACTGGTAGAATCGATAAAGTTGATAAACACTTAGAGATATAACACCAGCTGCACTATGCGAATTAGCAGCTATCTCTGGAAATTTCAGAGATGTTTAACCCCCATTATAAAATGCAAGATATGAAAAAATACTATCACATGCCTGAGGCTGATCGAATTGGAGACAATTACGGAAACTCGCAATAAATGCCCCTAATTAATGATAATAAAAATATAGACTACCATAATTATTTGAATAACAATGATCATTTGAATCACAGTATGAATTAAGAACCTATTAAGTAGAGTTACACCTCTTCCAACCAACAATCGTCCTCATTGTCATTAACCAATGCGATGTTTTAATAATTACCCAGAAGGGATGTAGTAGATTTAAATCAGATGATTTGCCCTTACGAGGCGACGAATGACGACACTCAAGAGGAAATATAAAGTAGCTTTTTTGAACGTACAATAAATGATGACCTTAAGGAGTAGGGACAGATGAGAATTTTTTTCAACTTTAAAGCCTATTCTGAATGAGGTTAACCTTGGTCCTTTTAAATAAACAACATATTCATTATTTGATACTAAAACTTAATTATATGAGAAATACGTCATGTAATCAATACTAACTCAGATTCCTCCTCATGGGGTTTTGGGGTTTTGGGGTTTTGGGGTTTTGGGG